CATTGTTCGTGGGGGCGGGGCTGCTAAACTCACTCCATCTCTTGGTTCTACATTATCGTGGTAAAATATGATAAAATCACCCCTGACCTGTCAAAAGCTAATATGAAAATGTCATTTTTTAAATTTCCATTATTTTTTAATCTCCTAAGGAATAATATGACAAGACAAGAGTATATTACACAATTTTAAGCTCATTTGAGATGCATGCGTCTCATAATTATGAAAATTTCAAGGTTAAATACCCCCCCAAGCCATCATAAGCTAAAATGAAAATTTCAGATCTTAAGAAATGTCCAATCATTTTCTACATCTTATTGGAGGTATTATGATTAAACAGGACTATATGCACCATCTAGAGCTAATTTGAGATACATATATTACAAAATTTGAAAGTTATTACGGTAAAATATGATTAACCCTGGTCCTTTAGAAGCGATAATGAAAAAAAAATTTTTGAAAATTTCCAATCATTTTTCAATCTAATTAGGAATAATATGATAATACGAGACTTAATTCACCATTTTGAGCTCATATGAGATCCATACATTACATATCTTCAAAATTATTAAGGAAGAATAAGGTTACCCCTAGGCCGCAAGGGCTTAAAAATTCAAATTTCGATAATTTTTATCCCGAAAAATACATGAGCTACCCCAGTCATATTTTTTTTATATGTGATGAACACCTATACCCCTATTAGTATGAATTTTTCCAGAATGATCAGACATCACATTCTTGAAATACAGTACTTGATGTCCCATATTTGACCCCTTAAAGTCCCCGTCTAAAGTTTGAAAATATTTTTTTATCATTCATTTACTATTTGTCAGGACTTAAAAAGTGATTTTAGAGATTTTTGAACAAAAAAAATTTTTTGAAAAAAAAGTTGTGAGCATTTCATTTCTCAAATATTCAAATTTCCCGCCATTTTTCAAAAAAAGTTGAAATTTCTTAATCATCAAATATTTCTTAATGCATTTCAAAAAAGATTATCTTTTTAACACCAATGCAAAGATTGAACAAAAGACACACTATTTCAATAATAAAATGTTATATTTAATGGGCCACTTCAATGTTTTAGCTTATCAAAAATATTTTGAAACATTAGTGATGTCACTAAGGTAACTTAGTGAAAAAAATTGAATTTATTTTTTCGATGTCAATCTTTTCTAAATATGCTAGACTTTCATAAAAAACAATGTTGATTGTCTAACCAGGTTAAAAGTAAGAATGAATTATGTTTTAGATATCATTGTACCATTGGTTTCTATGAGAACTAAAATTTTGAAATGCATTTTTCTCAGAACCATTTTCATGCACTGATAAGTTCATTTCTCGCTTGTTTATCAACCGATTTTCTTAATTTTTTCGGCAAAAAACATGGGAGGATGAATGCTATGCATTGGTATGAATTGTGGCTAATTAGAAGATATGAGTGACCTCTAAAAGTTGGTTTTAAATAAATTCACACATTTTGGAACAAAAAGTCTATCAAAAACCACTTTTTGAAATTTAAAAAAAAAGTTTCACATATCACACTTTGATAACATTGGGTAAGACTACAATATAAGCCAAAGTGGTTTAAACTTTACATGGGGCCTTTAAAAGATGAATTCACGCTAGATAATTGGGTCAAAATGTATTTTCCTCACTAAACACCACTTTTGCAATTGGTTTGTCTCAATTATAAGGCTCGAAGCAATCAACAAAATGAAGTCATTTAAAAAATTACTTCAAAACCATTTTTATTTATTTTTTATTATGTACCCCCTCCCCGCCTGATAGGGGTGGGGGTCAGAGACTAAAAAATCCACAAAGACCACCCCGGATCACTTGCCACGAAATCATTTTCCACTCAGATCAAGTGTTTCTACAACTGTGCCAAGTTTGTTGCTTTCCTGGAAAGATGAACTATAAAGGGTTCATTTCTGGACATCTGACTGCGCTATATTACATTGGTCGGGTAGCAGGTTGTGCCAATTCCGGTGAGGTATTTGACTGTGTCCATCTGTGTGACTAGTGTTATCTCAAGTTGGATGAGGATTTGTTGTGTATATTGGTATGTTAGAGGTTGTATATTGTTGGTTGTGCCTAATTGTGTTGTGTCAGTTAGTTTGACAGTCGGTTTTCTTTAAGTGTTTTTGTCTGGTATTGGTTCCGTGTCCCATTGCGTCATGCTAATTTTATAATGGATTGTGTTCTGTTGTTGTCATGCAGCGCTGGTTGGGTAGCAGGTTGTGCCAAGTCGGATGAGGTATCTGGTTGTGTCTGATTTTATTATTTAGTTGGCGTTGTTTACAGTAAAAGAAGGTTTTTATCGCACCTAAAAAAAGGTATGATATTACCGTCAGCTTAACGGGAGGACGGCGTGCAGTTGAGGTCTCATGCACTTTCTTGTTATCACGATTCCAGGAAAATCATAGGACAGATTTACTTTAAATTTCACACATATTACATGGTAAGAAGTTCTTGAGCTGATTAACCTTTCGGCGGCCATCTTGCATTCTGGTTGTCAACTTGGAAGTTTTTAGATATACAGTCAATGATGTATATTTTGATGTTAAGTCAATACACACTTAGTGCAATCTTAATATTCTCAAAAGAAAATTCTACCTATAACAAAATTGTTTACGTATTTTGTAGCATAATGGAGTCACTGCATTTATGACCACTATCTAAGCCTATCTGAGTTATGACTCATAAAATTAAATATTCTACAAAGTATACTTTTCACTGAATTAGTTAGTGTAAACCTAGAAATCGTTTATTTTGAAAGTGATTAAATAAAATTAATAAATGACCCTCTTTGGGATGAAAAAGGTTAATGCCTATTTTTGCATTACCAAAAATTCGAATGGAGGTGGGATTTTAAAAGCTTAGACTACCGACGAATTGGAACCTGAGAGCAAACGAGGCCATTTATTTGACACTAGTTCGCAATACCATGGGCTTTCAACTAGTGAAAGGCCATGGCAATAATAATAGCCGCAGATTGAGATGCGTTCAAAATTACGTACTTCAAAAAACGTACTGCGAAACAAAAATTATCGAAATACCGTATTCGTAAACGTAATGAAATATACGAATACGGGTACGTTTCAGCTAACCCAAGAGGTGGGGAACCCCAAAGGCTTAGACGATACCAGACATAATTACGTATTTTGCTTGCCACCTTCCTATGACATTGTTTAAATTCTCCAGAAATGAACAATATTATATTATATAATATTATTCGAATCATATAAAAATTCTGAGGCTGCCATTTTTGTAGATTTTGACCATCAGAAACAAATTTACATTATAATTAAGCGTATGTCATCTTTAAACTCTGAGATTATTCCCGGGGGTTTCACTCCAATATCCCCCTATTTGGTTAACCTGTTGTGCGAAACCTCTTCATTATATCTATGATTCTGTTCCCAGAATTGACCATTTATCCAGTTCGCGAAACTGCGTTTAGTAGATTCGTTCATAATGCCGGGACTCCTTAAGATTCGGCGGCGATTTAAATATAGCGGCTATTTACTTCTTAAAACTAGTCTTTCTTAGAAGAACTAAGAAAGACTAGTTTTAATGAACGCATGTCCTTTAAATGACAAAGATTCCAAAGCTATTTAGAAATTCCTCTAACCCTTAGTAGATTTGTTCGGATTTGGCGGCGTTTTAAATATCGCGGTTATGACCAGGTTACTCAGATGAACTAAGAATGACCAGTTTTGATGAAGGCAGATATTTGCTATATTGGAACTTTTAATAAATCTTGGCAGGTTATTATTTAATGTCAATTTTTGTAATGAACAAAGTGCTTGTTGAATGTGTAGCTATTTATAGAGTTCTATATACATTACACTTAGTTTTTTTAGTTTCTAAACGTATCATTCAACTATGCCATAAAGGAGATTGAAGATCCGTCTAAATGTATATTTCCTAAATGTATTTTCATTGCATGTTTTACTGATCTTTAAACTGCTTTTGAATATTTTTAACTTAATGAAAATATATACGGTAACAAAATTAATTAAATACACGCTGTGTTTTGAACTTTTTTTTGTAAAATTGTCCTTCCCTGCCGTGGAAAGCCACGCCTTCTCCATCTCCACCTCCGGGACGCTAAGCAAACTGTATACGTCATTCTCATAAAGTTTAATTGATTTATCTTTCTAGAGTATTGGATTCCGTATTATTTGATTTCGGTGTAATAATGGGTTTTCGAGTATTGGGGTTCGAACAAGGGCAGCAATACTTCATATTATATTATGTTGAGGACAGGGGTTCGTCCAGATGAAACACACAATGGAAGATCATACCGCCGTATTCTGCATATGTGCTTGAATTCTGCTCCAAGTCAAATAAACGAATGCGTTCATAGCGTACTAATTGTACTTATATACTGTATACGTAAATCATGAAATTAACGGGCATATCAGGAGTTCTACGATTGTTCACCGTATTTAGCTATACGCCTATTTTTGTTATCATCCCACTGGCGGATCCAGATCCATCTTGCGCCCCCCCCCCCTTTTTTGTAGGAGCCCAAAAATCGTTTTGCTCGAAAGTTACATATGGCCTCAAAAATGATTCTCTTTGGGCATGATTTGGCATTTTAGGCCAAATTTTCAAAAATGGGGTTAAAATTTTCATCTGGATCCGCCAGTGTTGTCAAAGTTGTTAAATTCAAAAAGGCCAAATAATTGCGATATTGAATGTGCAACTTATCACAGTACACCTCTCCCGACGAGTGACACGTGGTGTTAAAAACTTTCCAATCCTACACATAGAACGCATGCATAATACAAAAAAATGCTGGGATCGAAATTGTATCGTAGTGTAAGCCAATTTACTGACTGAATTACTCAGTTGGAGTAACAATTCCCGGGGAAACTTTCCCAGGAACAGATAACTATTCCCTCTATTGACTAAACTAGGTACTATAGTTCACTCCACTTTTGAAAATAACTAACTCATATATATATATATATAACTCCTCAAAGAAGATCTACCTTCTGTCCTGTACATTGTGACCTGTCCACCATTTTGACAGAGGAGAACATTTGAAGCTTTGCCTCTCTGGCATTTCTCTGAATGAGAGGGTCATCTGATGACAGTTTAGCATGGCACACAATGATGAACTACAAATATACAACACAAGGGTAGAAATTAAATCATGGTATCAAATGTTTTAATTTCGTAAATGGTAAAACCTGTGTAAGTGGAACACCTTTAGTACCTCTAAAAAGTGTTCCATTTGGGAGGTGTTCCACTTAATATAAATCAATTGGTCATTATACTCTGAAGTGTTCCACTAACAGAGATGTTCCACTTCTAGAGGTGTTCCACATTACAGGTTTCACAGTACATTGTTTTAAGTGATTACATTCTGATACATTATAGTTTTGATTACAAGGGTTTTATTTTACAAATCATACAATCTAAATATAGCTCCACTTTTGTTTTTATGCACTGTAAATTCCATGTACATGCACAGAATGTCAATCTATCTTTTGCTGAGGATACTTAAATAAATACAGATAACTAGGTATGTTCTTACAGATTTTTCTTGGCCCTCATATCGAACAGTAGTTTTGAGTAGTTTTAGGGCCCCTTCTTGGGAGAGTCTTTCAAGTAGACGTGACAGAGATCTTTTATCCATTCTTGTATCATAGCCTTCTTCCTTCTCATAAATACGGATACCCTGGAATCAAATAAAACAATTTGGGGCACAGTGCAATTTTGGACCAATCTTTAGTTTTATGTGTCTTAAACCTCAGCCACATCTACTCTATGGTGGTGGTACAGTGACTGTAGCTTCGCAAACTCGATATAGAAAATCTACATCGTAATGTTTATTCCATATTTTATGCTGCATATTTCTCTCAATTTTGGGAAGCTATGGCTACTGTATCGATACCATTGATCAAATATGACTGAGGCATTAATACCAGGTTGTCACTTATACTATTTATGATGTCCAAAGTCCCCTCATTATTAGGAGTTATATGAAACACTGAATTTAAATTCTATGCTATATCTAAGACCCTAGGGAATCACATTGCATTATAAAAGTCTTGTATGTTTTGGCTCACCCGAATCAAGCTGAATATATTTGTCACTATAGACATCTCTTCTACTTTCTTCAGTATATAGTTGGCCCGCTTCAATGTCCTGAAGGTCACGTGACCTGTAAGCAAATTTTGCACTAGGTTACATGTAAGTTATATGCATAGTAATTCACCCAAAGCTTTGGCAAAATTGTAAGGTATCATTTAATTCAGTTGTATCAAAATAAAAGTATGAGGTACAGGGTTCTCATCAGGAAATTTTTAGACCCCAGATTTTTTACTCCTCCCCATGTGAGATTAGAGATATCCTATTAGTATAACTTTCAAAATACTACATAAAATTATCTTCCTATTTTAATCACAATGTATATTTCTAAAAGGTTTCTGACTTCTTATTCCTTGTTTGTATCCAGTTTTATGTATTTTCTCAAGAGTTTTACCACAAATAATGTGACATAAATGTAAAATTAGACTCAAGGAAAAACACTTTAGACTCTGAAAAAGCTCTAGACTCTAGAGCAAGAGGGTCTAATTTCATTAGGCTCCAGAGATTATCTGGAGTCTAAAAGCCTATTGAGAACCCTGAGGTGTATGTGTACAATACCTTTCGAATGCTCATACAAGTTATTGTGAAACATGTTGAATTGTTACAAGATTTTCAAATTACAAATTTTCAATTTTCCTCAATTAAGTCAAATTAAATGCTATAATATTTAAGCTTCCAAAAATGTTCAAATATGCAATTTTCTGAAATTGAGATTTCTGTCTTTGCTATTTATGATTTCTGGATTACTTTTAGACATTTTATCAATGATATGACCACATCATTTTGAGGAACAGGAATTTGAGAAAAAATTATGAATTTAGTTGCCTATTTAATAATAAAAGCTGACAATTGAGATTTCAGAAACTGCATATATGAACAATTTCAAGGTTGCAGATGCAATGCAAGAATGCAAGAACACCTTAGTCCATTCAACACCCTATCCGAAACAAAGAAAAGAAAAAATTAGTACCGTGGGTACTGGGCTCACATGGTGACAGAAAAAAAACGGATATAATTTTTTGCTGATTTTTTGTCACAAAATTATTTCAAGCCATCTGTCTCTCAGTCAATTAAAATGGCTGAAAAAAAAACGGATATAATTTTTTGCCAATAATTTGTAACAAAATTATTTCATACAACTACTCTTTACAGTGACATGGCTTTTTGCAATGCAAGACACCTGAAATTATTTGTAAAGCTAGGAAATGGGCCAAAATTGAATTTCCCGAGACAAAAATGGCGACCATTACAGGCAAGCTTTTGAACCAGGAGTCATAGGGGAGTTTTTTGTATTGATGTTGAACAAAAATAACTTGAAACTGGAATCCTATCGACAGAGGTTTTAAGCAAATGGTCCAAAAGAGGATTTCGCGAGACAGATGGACAAATCAATGTTAACTAAAATGGCTGAAAATAAAAAAAACGGATATAATATTTTGCCGATTTTTTGTAACAAAATTATTTCATACAACTACCTTTAACAGTGACATGGCTTTTTACAATGCAGGACAGCTGAAATTATTTGTAAAGCTAGGAAATGGGCAAAAAGTGAATTTCGCGAAACAAGAATGGCAACCATTTTGAAAATAGGCGAGCTTTTGAACCAAGAGTCATAGGAGAGTTTTTTGTATTGATGTTGAACAAAACTAACTTAAATGGGAATCCTATCGACAGAGGGTTTGAGGTAAATGGTCCAAAAGTGGATTTTGCGAGACAGATGGACAAATCAATGTTAACTAAAATGGCTGAAAATAAATAAATGGATATAATCTTTCGCTGATTTTTTGTAACAAAATTATTTCATACATCTACTCTTTACTTTGCAATGGATTTCTACAATGTAGGACACTTGAAATTATTTGTAAACCTAGGAAATGGGTCAAAAGTGAATTTCGCGAGACAAAAATGGCGGCCATTTTGAAAATAGGCGAGCTTTGTAACCAGGAGTCATAGGGGAGTTTTCTGAATTCATGTTGAACAGAAATAACTTAAAACAGGAATCCTATCGACAGAGGTTTTAAAACGTGCCACTGTTATTGACGGAAAGTGGATTTCGCGAGTCAGATAGACAAATCAATGTTAACTAAAATGGCTGAAAATAAAAAAATGGATACAATTTTTCACTGATTTTTTGTAACAAAATTATTTCATATATCTAATCTTTACATTGACATGGATTTTTACAATGTAGGACACCTGAAATTATTTGTAAAGCTAGGAAATGGGCCAAAACTGAATTTCGCGAGACAAAAGTGACGGCCATTTTGAAAATAGGCGAGCTTTTGAACCAGGAGTCATAGGGGGGTTTTCTGTATTGATGTTGAACAGAAATAACTTAAAACAGGAATCCTATCGACAGAGGTTAGCTAGGAATTGGGCTAAAAGTGAATTTCGCGAGACAAAAGTGACGGCCATTTTGAAAATAGGCGAGCTTTTGAACCAGGAGTCATAGGGGGGTTTTCTGTATTGATGTTGAACAGAAATAACTTAAAACAGGAATCCTATTGACAGAGGTTTTAAAACGTGCCACTATTGTTGACGGACGGACAGACGGACGGACAGACGGACGGACGGACGGACGGACAGACAGACGGACAAGTGAGTGATTGCAAAAGCTCACCATGTGAGCTAAAAAAGAGGATGCCACCAAAATAGAGAAAGTTATTGCAAAATCAAAGTGTTGCGTAATTGGGGTCAATCTGTATTATAGTCTTTTTAACATCTTATTATGTCTTTTTAATAGAAACGAATGAAAAAGAAACTTACTATCTTTCCCCTTTCCTTTACTCCTATTATACTTGTTGACATACTCAAAGGAGAGCCTATTGATGAGAGATTCGCTGAGTTCACTTAGCTCCTCTGGTAGGTTGGTGTTCAATGGTATGCCATCTATCACAGTGTGCTTGACAGATATGGTGGCCTCTTCATCTTTAGGCTCAACGGTTGGTGGTGGTGTTGACTCTGCAATATAAAATATGATAAGGTGGCCTCCCAAGCATTCAACAACGACTTAACAAGACATTAACATGCAAAATGTCACCACCTGCCATTTGCCGAACCAACTCCCAAACATCAACCACTGTAAAAATAGAAAAATGAACATACACACATTTGTAAATTTGTTTGCATAATCATAAAAATTGAACGTTCTATGATTTTAATATTTCAATTGGTATTGATATTCTTTGATAGGCTTTGTATTAAAACAGATTTTAAACTCTGAAACACAGGGATTAAGGCCACTATAGAAGGGGTATCACAATTCAGAGATGACCGTATTTTCTCTAAACCTACCTTCTTGTACAGCATCTATAGAGACTTGCATGCTCTCACTATCCTGGCTGACATCTAGGGCTGGTAGTTCTACAGGAACTGGGGGTTCATCTTTCACTTCAGGCTTAATTGCAAGTTTTGTGGATTTTTTCTTCAGGGCTTTGGTGAGTGCCTCCTCTACAGCAAACCTTGCATGTAAACTACCAGGGGCAAGGAATTCCATGGCAATGTACCTAAAATTATGGAATACACATAATATACTTTGGGATTGTGAATACATCATAACATATCTACATTAGGATAGGAACCAATGGTTACAGAATATACATTACACAAACAGGTCATTAACATGCAAAATGTCACTACCTGCCATTTGTTACAGACACCGAACACCAACTGCTGGACACCAACTGCCAAACACCTTTCACAACAGTTGGAGACCATAACAATATTTCACCACTTGTGATGGTGACATAAAAACCAATGTTTACAGAATATATATTAAAACACAGAAAAAAGAACTATGGTTCCACAGATAATTGGGCTTTAAAGGTCAATTATACGAAGAAACATACAACTTTGACTGTTTCTTCAAAAGAAAAAGATATTGAACGCATATAGAAGGTTGTGGACCACTACATTAAAAGCACTCCATTGACCTCAGAAGGCAAGATAATTTTGAAGGGACCTATGCACAGTTTGAAAAATGTTATGAAGGGCTTCAACTGTAGTATATTTTGCTATCATATATATATTAACACCTACCGACATGTGCGCTGCTTTCCCTCATTTATCAGGACAGATGAGATCAACCTGTTCTTCTCTAAGTTGCGAACAAATGACCTATAAAACATATAAAGGGTGCAAAGTGACTGCTATAGGATGTCAAGTGGCAATGAGTTTCAAACCATTAAAGACATGTCATTCACATTAACACCAAAATATGATCTAGCAACAATTTTAAGTCTTACCGTGAGTTGAGTCGTCCAATTTGCAAAGCGCAGTTGATATCAGTGATCCTTCGACCTTGCAGACCAACATCCTTGATGAACTTATAGATTTGACATATTGTAGGAAGTTCCATTTGGAGGTCATATGCTGAAAGATCAAAGCTCATGAAGTATTTCAGCCTACTATTAGAAAGATCCCTCTTATACAATGTATAGTTGACAGGCCCGTAGCCATGGGGGGGGGGGGGGGGGGGTCGATCGGTTCGAGCGTTTCGAGATTGTAATAAGTGAACCCCCCCTGGGATTTTCCAAAAAGTGAACCCCCCCTTGGCAAATCCTGGCTACGGGCCTGGTTGAATAAGGTTATCTCGAAAGCCCACTTTGTAAGCATGATGAGGTATATGAAGTCAAGATATTTTAAAAATACCTAATGTTGTAATTGATTCACAGATTTTATCTATTAATGGATTCATCGTAATCTGCTCCACCCAGTTTCATTCATTTGAAGCTGATCGGTGGCAAAATCATTACAAATTCATGCTGTCAATCACATATCCATTTAATATTGCATTTTAGCTGTACGTTATATGCTTTCTGTCTTAATGTCATAGGGCATTCATTGAATTAATGCTGCCTATCACGCAAACACCCATTTATTGCATCTACCCATTAACTTAATGTCACCAGCTATATTTATATTGAAATATACCTCAATATCATCTTCACACTGACCCCACTCACCTTCAATATCATTTTCATCCTCTGCCTCCTCATCTGGCTCCACGGTGTCATCTTTGTTGTACCTTAACAGCTCCATATCAAATGGCTTTATCAGTGTCAACACTTGAACTTGCCTTTCTCTAATCTGGTTATTTTTCTTTGGTAGGCGCCAAGTCTTTTCATCGGCATCTGGGTACATTTCCCGGAAGGGAATCATCGTTTTGGTGACCATCAAACGTGCTTGATCAGTTGTCTTTTTGAAAGTTTTATCTTTCAATTGCTACAAAATGTATATACATTTTACAATCATCAAGTATTGTTTTATAGAAGAAATATTTTACTGGCGTCTCTTAAAAATAAAGGATTTGGCTGATGACATGTGCATTTTTAAAATCAATAAGTTAATCAACTTTAGACTCAAAAGAATTATCTTGGCATAACATAAATAAAAATTACTTATCCACTGTGAAAAGAAGATATATCTGAGAATTCAGTGCCCTTGGGGAATGGGGAAGTGAAATAGAACATATGGTCAGCTCCCTGGGCATTTCTTGTTTAAGTGTATGACCTGTGCTCAATGATATCCATCTTCTCAACTCTCATGGTAAACTAAGAGCAATGATAGATGTGTAGTTAGGTCTTATTACTTGAGAAACTGGTAACTGAAACTGGTCAGAACTTACAAGGGTACAACCATATCTCACCAGTCCAGTGGTACTAGCAAAATGAGCAAATATATGGCCATCAGCAAGATATAAGAAAATAAACAGTGAATACTCAATATTCTATCAAGATATCAAAAATAACAAAGTCATTCTCAAAGCTTCCAAAGATAATTGATTTAGGCAGCTAGATATACATGTACATATAAACATACATGGAAGTCCATGAAAAACTTACGGTTTCAGCTCTTATGATTTGCATAACTTCCCGCTTGTTGGGCTTAGCATCCAAAAGATCACAGAGAAGTCTAACTTGTCTTATCCACTTAACAGATTGGTCAGAGTAGAAGCGTGGAATGTGGATCAAATTTCCACTCATGGTTTTAAACCCTGTCGATTTGCTGAAGTGCTGCGACTTACAGAGGCCACATTTGGAGAGTATTTTCTTCATGTAGAAAATATCCTTGCTTTTCCTCTTCATTGCAACAGAGATGCTGTTCTTTCCCTGTGTAAGTTCACCAACAAATCTCGACCTGGAAAAGGTCAGGTAATATATTAGTGATGGAATATGACAGACTTAAGAGGTACATCTTGCCTCATAGTCGTATCAGTGTTTTACCCAATGTTTTCACCTTAACAATACAGTAATATCTGACATAGAATATCTACCTAGTAAATGTAAAGGTAACTTATCAAAGATAAAACATTTAATGTGACAATTATGGGATTGGACAATGTGATGTCACATACATGAACTGAAAATAAATGATGTCATTGAAGGCTATCTATTATTTGTTATACCCTACAGAGCTTTGGAACGAGAGGTTTTTCATGTACATGTCACTATATAGGGGCTTTATTTCGACAAACATACAAGTTTGCAAATTACTATGCCCATAGAGGACTCATAGATAGACACATTATCAAAGAAACAAAATTAATATGCTAAATACCTTGCCACTCTTTCTAGAAAGCAGTAATGTTCCAGAACCATTGGGAAGTTAGTGTTAGCAGTTTTCTCAAATATTGATTCTTCCCTCAATTCTTGTGACGCCACAATTACCAGACGTCCACCCCATCTAGAATAGAATTTATTCAGTATTTAGCAGAATGTAAAGTTAATCGCCAAAATACTATGGGTTTCTTTTGCGGACATGGACATGTAAATATCACATTTATGCTAGCAAATATGGACATGTATCTTGTAATAATCAAGCGTACTATACAGAACGAATCATGGTCATCATTCTCTCAGATATACAGGTTTCACTATTCACTCAGCTTCAGACTGATTAAGATAGCCAAGAAGTAGAATATTTTACACAAAAATGCTTTGCAATCACACAAACAGGTCTCAAACTCATCCTTCTCTGACCACCTTAATGTCACATACCTTTCAATGACGTTGTCAAGGTTACACAACAGTTCCCCATGATCGTTACGGATATAACTTGTCACATCTTTGCGTGTGTGATAGGTGGAGCAGCTACCTCGTATATTTTTATCCTCGATGATACAGATTGGGTATATATCCTCGATTGTTTCCTCTTCATCCTCCCTATCTACTATCTGAATATGTATAGAATATATCTTGCATATGAGTCATTGTCAAATGCAATCTTGGTCATTTGTGGATGCTTATTCAAAATCTATTCAAGTTTTTAAACACTTTTAAAACAATAAACCAGGTTGGAAGTGTAAGCATGTAAAATTCAATTCATATAAGAGTAACATAATATGTAAAATATGAAGAAAAATATCCCACAGCTTTGAAAATGAAAACTGAAAAAGAACTGCCTATATAAATCAACTGACTAGATTGCCAAGCAAATACCTGAGATTCACAATCTAAGTATTTTTTCTTCAAAACAAGAGGTGGTCTTGGTGCTTCAAGTTCATAGAATTGTAAATCATCAAGCAGTGCAATTTCCCGCCAGAGGTAGGCTTTCGTCGCATCGTCAAGCTTCATAGGGAATGCTGGGATACAATCCGCCAAGCGTATCCATAATGCCGATATTGTGATTCCTGTATTCCAACAAGGCATAACAAAGATTAAATCTTATACGAATTACAAAATACTATGTATAAATAGAATACCAAAAACTAAACAAAGCATTTACATGCAAAATGTCACCACCTGCCATTTGTTACAAACTCAGAACACAGGCCACCAAACACCATCCACAGAAAAGTTAGAGAGTATAACAATATGTCACCACTTGTGGTGGTGACATAACAAAACTACATTTTCACACAAAGAAACATCTCTGTAAATTCAATCTATCCGGTACTGAAGTACGGGATATAGCTTACCATCCAAGCCCTCCAAGGCTATTTCGTCCAGACATATGGAACATGCAGACATGACTGTTGTAGAAATGGGTTTACCAAAATCTACCTTACTGCTTCTATGTTTAGCTCATCAGCTGGCATGGTATATGAAACAAAAAAAAAGAAATTGTCAGTTAGCAGGGATTCATCATTCATATTCAGTGTTTCAAAATACCATTTTATCTGCATATAAGTAATTCTGCCAAATATGTAGCTTTTTATTTTGAATATATGAAAGTTTTAGGTCTAATGCTAAACTTATTCACAAGTCAAAATGGGATGAAATGGTATTCTGCATTCATCTGAAGTTTTTTTCTTAGGCTTGTCATCTCAGTTTGATATTTGTATAACTACCAGTCATTTAAACCATGGGCTTTCATGCCCATGTTTAAAGGACAACTGAAATAACTTTTCTCAACTTGCAGCTACAAAAACGCGGTTTTCTCCATTGTAAGCCCAACGTAGAGTTCTTGCGATAGCCATTATAAAATAAATGTTAGATAACTGCTAACGGTCATAGATAACGAAATAAAACTAACTGATTAATCAAATTGGCCCCCACGTGATTAGTAACGTCATATACAAAATATAGCTTTGGTTTATTGGTTTCTTAGTAATCACAATGTCACGGCAACCATAGGATTGTTGTGTAAACTAATAACAAAACATTTCGGCATTATGACGTCATGATCCAATGGACCAAAACGGGCCATGTGGGGACCAGTGAGAGATCACGTGGGGGCCAATAACGTCACAACCAATTCGAATATTGCTTATTAAGCAGCTAATAACGATCGTTAGAGTAAAATAATTTCCACACTACTGATGAGAAAACATGTCCAAATACATCTATCAAAAAATTATATTGATTCCTTTTAGGTTAGAAATACCATTTCATATCTGCTTTAAGTGTAGAAAAATCTGAACTTGAATTATGTTTGAACAAATGGTCACAGGTTCACACTAGTTCTGAAACTCTGATGAAATCATTACAGGAATACAAGATTTTTCCTAATGGTAGGTAATACTGAAGTGTTATGACCAAGGATTACTCGAGTCTCTAGCCAATACTTGGCTAGAGGTGCTTTCATCTGGAATACTGTGAACTCCATTTGAAAAAAGCTGGCCGCCGTGTCATAAATTTATTGAATATTTTAAAAATCGCCAGCTAAATCAATCATAAATTAAATCGGATCCGACTCGGCTCCTTGATGAGATTGACATGATTTCGTCTAAAATTAAAACAAAATGGATCCAAGAAAAATGGCGATATTCGAAAACTGGATGAAATGTCGTTAACGTCTGACATTAGTAACTGGCTGTAAATTCTAAGTTAGCGATCCAGAAGATGTGAACTAATACACTGATCACTTCATGTGTTTTGGAATTTTTGGTGAGGTAATAAGACCAAAACTCGCAATTCAAATTGTGATGTGGAAAAATGGCGGACATATGATTTCAAATTTTATGATTACGACATGACCAATTGTTCATGCAGGAAATTATCTTTCCAGGAAGGCCACGATACAGTGACCTTAGAAGAAGGTAAACGTAGGATAGCAAGTTGAAGTTATACAATCTTTGCACGCTATGTCTACTCTGTGTTCAGACTGACGGGAGCCGAGTGAATGAAGATGCAGCACTGTAACTTGGTGATTGCACGGAGCGGCACTCTCAGAACAAGAAAGCCTTTTCAGTGACTATTGAGTATTGAGTGTACCACAAGTGTATATATATATATATATGTCAATTGAGTTTAGTTAGCTGTATACTAGGGTGTAAATATAGACTAAACTTAGAGATAGGAATGATGAGTTTCGAGTTTCACTCGGAAACAAGTTCATTTTATAATTTCAGATTTCTTTCTTATCTATGTGTCTAAATTACATCGTACATAGCAAATCAAATATCGGAATAAATTGTACTTACGCAATCAAGTATACACATCGAGTTATTTCTCAAAAATAACATAAATCAAGAGAAATGTGAAACATTCTCAACATGTTTTATTTATTTACTACAGTTCGGCAATTGAGATTGTTGAACTAAAGGTGGCAGGTCAATAATTTTATCCAATGAAATTGATCATCACATAATGTTATCTAGATTTTGATTGGTCCAATTTAAAACACAAATTTTGAAAATTCTGGCCAGGAAAAGTTTGAAAAGTATCTACAATATTGCTGATTATTGTCGGTTGATCTGTCGATATATTTAAAAAAGTACGATAATAGTACAAACCGACACACAAAGAATACAAATCGTTACAATATGGTGAAATCCAAGGCGGAAAAAGATGCTAATCAGCACATCAATGTTGTGGTTCGTTGCAGGTGAGTCTAAAAAATGATCAATTTTATTTTCAAAAAACAAATCAATTTTTTATTTCATTATTTCGACTAATCCAACTCCTTCACTGTCCTACCTTTCATCCGTGAAATTACAACCTATATAGGTATATGAACCAACCACCTACCAGTTTTATTTGACACATGATGTAGACATCTATGCTTTCATCTCCAGTGGTTTAGATCTCAAGTCATTTGTCCATGGAGGCACTATTCTGGCTGCTTTCAACTGAATACTGAAGCTGTCCATCAAGTCAGTTCATCTCACTCGTCATCTCAGTCGCTAGTTCAACAAGTTAAACCCAATACCACGGCTTTCATTTATAATCTGAGTGTTCTTGTTGCCGTGGTTGGGTTTAACTTCCGTGCTATGCTTTCATTGGTTGCAAATTCTCACTATCAGTTATTAATAAAATGCGCATAGAATTCCATGCGCTGCCATAGGCCATCATTAAAATTTTTTGCATCAAGGGCCGAATAGGCACGGATGTTAAACCTAGGGCGGGCCACAAGAAATGTCAGATAAGAAATAAGGCCCAGACTAGGTTTAACTTGTTGAACTACTCAGTCGCATCCATAACAGCCATCTCAGTACCCATACCAGTCATCTCAGGTTTATAAAGCTCAAATATTGAAGATTAATAAAGGTGAAAGATTAGATCTTGTCTAGCTCAAGATCTTAAAATCGGCAGAAATATTGTCGTCATATCGGTAACTGGTCCCCATCATCTCATTCTCTGGTTTCCGTCATCTCAGTTTGAGCATAATCATTTCATTTTCTTTAACATGTCCACTCAGTTTTGTGACCAACAACTCAGTTTTTCATACCCATTATTTCTTTGCCCAATATCTAAAACCAATGGCAATTTTCAAATACTGTTGCTGGTTACAATAAAACACTCAATTTACGTGATTGAGACCCTCAGTTATATTGGAGTATGTAGCCATATGAGGTCTATTCTAATTTACTTCACCTTAAATATTTTTGGATTCTTAAAATACATTCTTCAAAAATCAGAATTTAGGATATTAATAAACTCAGATAATCAGGTAGATTTGAATGATCTTTGCATTATGGAAAAAAGTGGAGTATCATTTTTATCAATTGTTTGGAAAAATTTTAGGCCAATGAATGAAGCAGAAAAGAAGAGAGGATCACATAATGTGGTAGAGGTCGACCAGAACAAAGGCGAAGTTACAATAAAGGAGAAGCTGCTCCCCCTGGCTCATACCAAGACATTTAACTATGACAGAGTATTTGGTCCAAACACCAAGCAGATATCTGTCTATAAAGAGGTTGTTGTACCTGTTATTGATGAAGTCCTGATGGGGTATAACTGCACTATATTTGCGTAAGTGAATTGTTTTACCATCTTTTTGAATGCTTGATTGTAAATTAAGTTGGAATTATCTAAGATCTTGTTACAACAGGCATTAGGTGTATGTTGTTACTTCCCTAAATTCTTTTACCATATTCTCTCTAATAAATGCACGATGCAATTTTCCTGTAGAGTGTCTTAAAGTAATGGGCGATAATAGAATGAAACATTCATTTCCTGCTTAAAACTGGACCCAGTCCGACTAGACAACACAATATCAGACCTCCATGTTTTCCTCATGCATTTATCGATTGGTTGAATATGACGGCATAATAATCATTATTGTTTATGGTACCACCACAAGTGGTGATATACTGATATAATAGTCTCCAACTTTTTTTGTGGCGGTATCTGGCCTTCAGTTTCTAACACATGGCAGGTGGTGACAATGACATGTTAATGCCTTGTTTTCACAATATTATTGTATCTGGTTGTAGATATGGTCAGACAGGAACAGGAAAGACATTCACAATGGAGGGAGAGAGAAGTAATAACATGACGTGTTCATGGGAAGAAGATCCTCTAGCTGGGATCATCCCTCGATCTCTGCATCAGCTCTTTGAGAGGCTTAATAAACAAGTATGGATATGGAACAAGACATTATGACTTTTTAAAGCGTAATAATAATCCTACTAGGGTTCATTTTGTTAGTGGCAATCAGTGATCTGCCCAGCATTAAAGCAAGTGGGCCCAGTCATCCACCTGAAATTTTAAAAACATGCTTGCTCACCTGAAAATTCTGCACCCACTTGAAAATTAGAAAAACCGGCTTAACTGTCATCGTTTTATTGTGAAGGAGTATTTAATTAAAATGATTCGTTTGTTATTTCAGGATATTGAATTCTCCATGAGAATTTCCTATATTGAGTTATACAACGAGGAACTCTATGACCTTCTTAACTCATCTGAAGAACCACTGAGACTCAGGATATATGAGGACTCTGCAAAGAAGGTACACATGTCATTTTGGGTTTTATTTTACTATTGGGAAATTACTTCTTGATTTCAACTGTATGAATGTTATCTTACAAATTTTGCATGGGATGTTGAGTGAGTTGTGTTCAATTCTAGCGATATAACATCACAGATTAGTGAAGGTGTGACATTGAGACATGGGAGTCACTGGAAAAGATTCACCTCTATGGCACTCTTTTAACATACATCACAATGAGGCTTCCCTTGATACATACAAATACAGATGACTACTCACTACTACCCTATAACCATATACAAGGGAAGATTAATCACATATTTGTATTTGTATATAATACACATGTACACATTTTATTTATACTTGTATATTTCAGGGATCTGTGATAATCAATGGAATGGAAGAAGCAGTTGTAACAAATAAAGATGATGTCTACAATATATTGGAGATGGGGGCAGCCAAGAGGCAAACCGCAGCAACGCTACTTAATGCACAGTCCAGGTAATTATTGTACTTGTGAAGTTTTCACAATACAAGGTGACAGTGCACAAAGCCAATCTTCTAACTGCCTGGAAATGACATGAACATGTGAAATTATATAATGCAGAGTATGTTAAGTTTTCTGTTAGTTAAAGATGTTGTGTCACCACCAAAAGTGGATGATGTATGTTGGTTGGTGTTTGGCAGTCTGCATCTTTAACAAATGGCTGGTGGTGACATTTTGCATATTGCTTTGTATTTTGTATAATGCAGTTGTCAATTCTGGAGTATTATTTAATCCTTGCATGTGTATGTCCATTTTGCATTCCAGTCGATCACATTCTGTGTTCAGTGTAACTCTTCATATGAAGGAAAATACCATAGATGGAGAAGAACTCTTAAAAACAGGAAAATTGAACTTAGTGAGTCTTTGTTTTTATTGCAACCTTTGTGTAATGTACATCCACATCTATCAATATTTTGAGGAAAAGGCCCATTGTCCATAACCTTTTGCTTGTAAACATTGATTTTTTTAATGCAAGTTTGAATTCGAGAAATATAATGAATGTTTAATTGCATCTTTTAAAAGATGCGTCAATCTGTAAAAACTCTGTAATGGGACAACATCAAAAATTGACCTTGTTTCAAAATAGAGTATAAAAAGGTGCGTGTACATTTTATACAATATTCCATATTTAGATTGTGTTTTGAACCAACATTATATTATATGGCGAATTCCATGTAATGAAAGCTATCATCTATAATGATGGGCCACACCATAGGATGGATGTTGCATTTGATAACCTAACTACAACTTTGAGTGTTTCCCTTCCTAGGTTGATTTGGCTGGTAGCGAGAACATTGGAAGATCTGGGGCTGTGGAGAAACGTGCCAAAGAAGCAGGGAATATTAACCAAAGTCTGCTAACTTTGGGTAGAGTTATCACTGCTCTTGTAGAGCATGCTCCTCACATACCATACAGGTAATATTCAACTCTGATTTATGTTAAAACATACCCCTATCATCTACTGATTGAATAAGGCCTCTGCAATATTTGAAAGGTATTCTGCTATACTGATTTCATGAGTTTCCAGTATTATTTTTACAATGTGTACTTCCAAATATCTAACAGGCCCAGTATAAGTTATGCTTAGCACATGCATCATGTTTGTTTTAAATCAAAATGGCGTATTACCTGAGTAAATTCCAGCTAACATTTCCACATTTACTATATCCCCATTAAAAATGTCCCCAACAGCAACCATATCAATGATTATCCATATTCTGCTAATATTCCAGAGAGAGTAAGCTGACCAGGCTACTACAAGACAGTCTGGGTGGACGAACAAAGACCTCCATTATAGCAACCGTATCCCCAGCATCTTGTAACTTTGAGGAGACAGTTAGTACACTGGACTATGCCCACAGAGCTAAGAATATCACCAATAGACCAGAGGTCAATCAGAAGCTCACCAAGAAGGCCCTCTTGAAGGTAATAAAGATGTCCGTGATCTCCCCAGGACAGCATAGAGGGTGGGTGTGTTGAACAGGGCTGGTATAGGGCACTAGAAATGAACAGTCCAGAATGCCATTCAGTTAGATCCTGGGGATATCATAGGATGTCCTTTCCCAATGTGTAAAGATATACTGAACCTAGAAAATATTGTGCATTGGAGTAAAATGCTCCACGGGAACATCGGCCAATGTTGTTACAAAGCAATGAAATAACACGCTCATTGAAGTTATCAGCATATCTCCCTGTATACGTCTTTAAATTTTAATCCATTAAATTTCACATTTCTAAAATGAAATGTTATTTCCAAAACTATTTATTATCCATTTTTCATTTTCCATTTTTCATTCTTTTCCTAATCAGCATGATTCTCATTGAATAATTTCAGGAATATACAGAAGAGCTTGAGCGACTAAGACGTGACCTTCAGGCGTCACGAGAGAAGAATGGTATATACCTTGCTGAAGACAACTACAATGATATGATATCAAAGATAGCACAACAACAAGATACCATCAAAGATGTCACTGAGAGACTTGACTCCCTGAAGACAGAGTTTGACCAGGTATGATATTGATATTAATTCAAAATCAGCCCTTGACCCCAAAATTCTGAATTGTATTTCGTCCATCTTATTACGATAAAAGATGCTGGTTCATCTCACTATCAATTAATGTATTACAGAGTCAATTTATGATACTTATTACATAATAAATTATATATCCAAGCGATAACTTACAGTAAGATAATATCCCATAAAATCAGTATTTGAAGTTTTAAAATTAACTTTATTACCTGTACTGAAAATATTTTGCTTTATGTTGTAAAGAACCTAATAATCTTTATCACTTACTTTCAGATCAGTGAGTTATTTGGAATCACTAAGGTTGAGCTAGAGGATACAAGTGAACAGTTGGCACAGACTACACAGGAGTTGGATACTTGTAAGGTGACCCTACATGACACTAAGTTACGTCTCCGTCAAACTACGCAGCAGAGAGACGAACAGACTCACCTGTTACATCACCACATGGATACAGAGACTGTGCTTTACTCAGATGCAACTCAAGTAAGCTTTTTGGGAACAACCTCATAAAGACAATATTCAAACAGCATAACATTACTTCGAAATTCATAAAAATAAAGTTGATGACAACTTTCTGAAATGTCTTCACACTTTACAAAATATTTTTGTGAATTTCAATAAAGACCAGCTGATGATTTAAGCAACGAGCATGGCCGGAGCATAAGAATCAACAATTTGCAGTAATTTGAATATGAATATTAATTACTTTCAGCTCTTGACCACTAGTGAAGAGGCAACCACTGATGTATCTGGTCTCCATGCTAAACTAGATCGTAAACAAGCTGTAGAGACGCACAATGAAGATGCCAAGCAGCAATTCAAGAGTAACTTCTCCAAGGCTGTAGAATCATTCCAGGGGGATGTTACTACATTTACCAACACCCAAGTGAATGGATTTCTTGACTTTATGAAACAACAGATAGGTGAGTAAACTGGAGAGCTGATCATTAGTAGAAAATATTTTGATTGTTGACTGTTGATTTGTCTTTCACTTGAATATTGATAAAAAGAATATACTATAAGTCAATTTACACATTAAACAAAAATGTGTGATTGTACCAACAGGACAAAATTGGTTTGTGACATCCAATCATTCATTTGACCACAAAAATGCAAATATTGAAAATGTGTTGCTTAATATTTCAGAGACTGGTGTTGAGAAGCGTGCTGAGGATGTGAGTAACGTATGTAGCCAACTGTCAGAGTGTGTTAACAAACTAAACACTATGGTAGGAGACATACACCAATCACAAGAATCTACTACCAAGGACTTGCAGAACATAGCTGGTGACATCGAGACAAGTTGCAAGGCTCATAGTGTATGTAGAATAGTGCTTTATAGTGTATGCACTATAGTGGTTTATAGTGTATGTTATATGTAGTATGGTGCTTTAAGTCATACCTTTTTCACAAGCTTGAACAAATATATTAAAACTCGGACAACTCTTAAAAAATAATTTATGTTGAGGTACTATATTGTTTCTTATGTCACTGTTAAAAAATGGGTGACATATTGTTATGGTCTCCGTTTTTTGTGACGGTGGTTGGCTATCAGCGGTTTGCAATCGGCGGTTGGCATATCTAACAAATGGTGGTGACACTTTGCATGTTAATGCCTTGTATTTAAAGTTTTTAGTTTGTTTTGGTATTTTCTTTGGATATAATATTTTCCTTTATTTATGTTCTTTTCAATCAGAATTCTGACAAGAAGGAGTGTATTCATTGTGAGAAGACTAGTAGCACTACTATAACATAGTGTTACTATGACATCAAACTACTAGGCATTGAGCTACTAAGACATGGGACTACTATGACATTGCACTACTATGATATTGAAATTCTGTATAGAAACGAAAACCGTGAACTAACTAAATAAATTTTCCATTTTGTAGAGTTTAACCAGTGAATCGATGCAGATATTTCTTCAACAAGAGCATGCCAGTAGAATGACAGACATCCAGAACATGCTATCTAGTATGAGCAACCAAATGAAAGAGCAAGCACACACTTTATCCCAACAGGTACGTCCAGTATGTTATTACAGACAAAAGTCAATCATCAAATAATTTAAAGATTCTGACTTAATTCAGTGTAATTATGTTTATATTAAATGTTATTATGATGCACAGTGGTTAATTTTGATTTAAACTCTTTAATTTTGATTGAGTCAGTTCATTGTTAGACTGTCAGATGTATATTGTGCTGCTTCCTTATTTTACAAAGAAACATTCTATGCATCGCAGTATGTTATTTTTTTAAAAACATGCACTTTTGTTACCTAGTAATCACTTCTACTGGTCTATTATAGATTTCCAACCAGCAAAAAATGCTCCAAGAACATACAGAGGGCCAGTTAAGTAGACTAAGTGAGATTATTAACATCGTTGAAGAAGAGAGACAGGCAAGAACTGAAAGACACACTGAGAATATCGAACACACCAAAACAATACTTGAAACACAGGCAGAACTTCAAAAAGTGAGTGCTTTTATCTTAAACATACAATTTTTTGCAAATAGCTGCCATTTTGATTTTTCAAATTACTTAGCCAAGTTTCACAACATCATTGGATTACCTAAAGCTCATATCTCATTCACCAAAACTAGATGCGGCAAGAATGCTTTCCAGAAAAAATTAAAGAAACACCCAGTTATTCATATTTTAATTTAAAAATGAAAATACCATTGGCAGGTACAGCAAATTTTTAAGAATTATGAGTAAAAAGAGACTTGAACCTTCAAAATGCATGAAATGTTTAAAGATTTAAGCCTAAAACTCATTGATTTTTTCTACAAAGAAGCGTCATTAATATTATGAATATGTTACAGAAACTAAGAGCAGAAATAAATGCAGTTGTAGAGCGGGCATTCTCAACTGAACTAGCCAGTCTTACATCTGGAGTAGACACGCTACAGACGAACCTAACTCAGAGCCAGACAGTGTCCACCAAGAGTGACTCTGTAGTGACCAGGTTAGCATTTATGTTGTCATTTTTAAATAAAAACTAGTGCAGTGTTTAAAATGTGGCAGCCTTTGACTCAAACGAGTGTGACACCCAACTGAGAATTTGAAAAATTTGAAAATCCAAATTAGTTCAGCTGAGAAGTTTGAGAGAATTATTATTGCATATAATTCTTAATCAGAATTTAGCCAATCCTGTGAGCTGAAAAACAACTAGTTGCAATCAAACTACTCTAAAATAGCAGATTGGAATAAATGGAATTTTGCTTGCCATTTGTAGTAAAGTTGAAGAAGAGAAGGAAACGAGTGAACTCTTCAAGAAGCAACATGATGAGACTTGCCAGATGATCATGGGAGCCAGTTCTGCCAGTGAAGAAAAAGTAAGAACAAACATTAAGGTTGAGCATCACATTTCGTTCCAAATTCCCCCACAGGAGTAATGACATCCTTTGAGAATTCTAAGAAAACATATCCGCACCGATATAATTGCTAGAAATCACCTCCGATTTGATTAATCGACGATCCTCTATACTTTTGATATTAATGATAATCATTTTTTCAAATCAACTTACCCATAATGATAAACTTTATGCAGAAGAGCTTTTCAACCCAAAATTGACACACCAAAACTTGGTAAAATTTAAATCAAAAACCTATGTTGCAGCTTCAGGAGAATGTAGAACAATGCAGCGCAAAGCAGACTGAACTACAGAGTACAGTCTGCAAGTACATAGAGAGCTCCCAGGAACAACACTGTAGCCATAGTAACCAGTTAGTGGAGCAACTGCACACACAGACCCAACAATCACAGTCCGGTTTAGATGAGCATCATCAGAAGACACAGGTAGGATTTACTGATATGTAAAAATGTTCAGAGCAGTTATAGTCTAGGCTAATCTTCATAGAATTTTCATGCCATCCAAAATATGTCTATAGAATTATGCTATTTTGGTGTAATTTAGAATTATTGAATAAAAATGATTGCTATTTCACGTGTGATATGACAAAATTAGGCTCAATAACATTTATTCAATTTCAGCAAGATTTAAAAAAGTTTTGATTTTAGCAATTTCTACAAAACAGCAATTTTGGCGAATTCCTGGCTATGGCTATCATGTATCATTTATACTTCCATATTTCCAGGAGTTGAATGCTGCTATAGATTCCATGAAGACTGATGTGACAGACTCTTTGGTGCAGCAACAAGAACAGCACCAGTCATGTGCAATAGAACAGCAACAACAGGTGCAGCAGCAACAGGGAACAGCGACAGCATGGCTTACTGAGACCACTAAAACACTAAATGAATTTGATGATAATGTGAATGTCTTCATACAAGACAACCTGAAAAAAGATCTGCCAACAGGTAAATCATTTCATCCTTAATACACATCATTCATAATACAAATATATAATTCCCATCTTCCACCAGACCTGCCTTGGCTAGGTCGAAGTGGGAGTGTAATTCTATTAAACAAACATACATAACTGAAGGGTTCAGGTGCTTTGAGAGCTAGAGGTGTTTCTGTTACAACGGAAATTTTTTAGAAAAGATGTATTTTTCTACGCAATCAATAATTGATTTTAAGCTTGATTGGAACATGCGTAGAGCTCACATTTCTTCTAAAACTGGAAGTTATGGTGCATTTGTTCCCTAATTTCATTTTCCAAACTCTAATTTCAAGACTTATTAAACTCCTTTATGTTTAGGAACTACACCAGAGAGGCGTGAGTTCAGCTACCCCCGTATCCTTGAGAAGACCAAGCCACATGACCAGCTGCTGAGTGCCTTCAGAGAACAATACCAACTTGAGCAAGCTCTCAGTACGGCACTACCTGATGACTCATACAGTGAACAGAGAAGTGTTGTCATGGATACCTCAAAGAGCACAACCCAGAATGAAGTAAGTAGAGTTGTTTATGATATTAATATCATGGCCTCTTGAAAATACCTAGTTTTAATATGTCTCCCAAACCATTCAGTAACAAAATATTCCAAGAGATTGGACAATGCACTTATAGAAATAGTGTCCCATTCCCTACACTTCAGAATATTAGATATTATAAAATGTGCCATCATTGTTAGTAAATACTAAATAAACTAAACCTTACTAACAAATTATCTAAAAAACACAATAGCAATTATGCCTGCACTTTTTCTTTCAGCAGACCAGAATGAGTGTCAGCAGTGATGCATCTGATATATCACAGTCTAATTTGTCACAGACTAATGTGTCTCAGAATAATGTGTCACAGACTAATGTGTCCCAGACTAATGTGTCCCAGACTAACGAGTCCCAGACTAATATATCTCAGAGTTCTGAAGTATCCAAACATGAAGAACCAGTACAAGTAGAAGATAAGGTGAGTATTGAGTACTGAGTATTGAGTACACAAAACTGAAAGTTAGTGTAGGACCACCTTGAAATGACGTCTTCTGCATGTCATTAGGTAGATTAAGATACACATTTTTTTTAAAAACTTGAATGTGAATGTGGAAATTAATTGTAATCAGGTCCATGGAAACTGAATTGAGAGCGGGACAGTAATCCCTGGGGGGGGGGTCAAAATATTACACGCTCACGTACAGAATCTCTTAAAAACGTTTAACTTAGCCTCCCTAATAACTTATAATAAACAAGAATCAGATATGACATATTCTTTTAGTGTTTAAACAGGTCGAAGGGATCAGAGATCAAGAATTTAGCAAAACTTAAAATAAGTTGTCAAAATATTACTCTTGCGTAACAAGAGATCTAAAATCCATGCATTGTTAGACACTCCATATGCAACCTATAATTTCAGGAGGACTGCAAGGAGAACATGCCAGCCCCTCAGTCCAGTAAAGTACCCACAAAATCCATCCCTGAGAAACGTGGCAGAAACAATTCTGTAAAGAGTACCAAAAAGCTGAAATCTACCCCAAACAAAGCCACACCCGGAAAAATAGACACTGGTAAAACACGCACGACAACTCCAACAAGAGCAACGTCAAGAACCCGACTGCCCCTGAGATCAAACCAGCCTTCTTAAAATGTAACACATGCTCTTTCCATCAACTATATGTGTTACAACTTTGAACTGTATGTGTTCTGTCTATGAACTGTACATGTTCTGACTATGAACTGTATGTGTCCTGTCTATGAACTATACATGCTCTGACTATGAACTGTGCATATTCTGACTATGAACTGAAATGTGTTCTGAACTGAACTGATAATCATGAAGAAAATTGGTGAAGGTTCTGTTTTCTGTATATTCAATAGCAATATTTATTTACGCTTTAATAGTCTGTAACTATGCCATATTATTGCTCTATATGTACAGTGTAATCACAATATCATTGAGTAAGAAGTCTGAACATGCGATGTTATAATAATTAAGTGTTATAGTTCGCTTTGCTAGGAAGTTTTAATTTTGCTCCAGGGACATGACCCCAAAATGGGTGAATTTGATTGTGGGGGAGGGGGTCCAGAAATTTGATACAATGCAAGATGAAGGAGGTTTATGGTTCTGTGAAAATAGAATCAACACTTTTAGTAAAGTATTTAAGAATGAAAGAATGAGCTCACATGATGCAGTTGTCATAACCAGCTGATCATTTCTGTGTATATACTCGTACATATGTGTATCATATCTGTGTATATACTCGTACATTTGTGTATCAATTCTAAAGCCATTGATCCATATTTCCATTAGATCTGAATTCCTTACAGTGCAGTGATGTCTATTGTAGACTAATAAATGTAGGGTATGATTGTAAAATTACAGTATGATCCATTGCATATGGAGTGGGAACATAATCATAGATGTTCCATTGTTATTTGGTCCCATTTAATCTGAACCACCCTGTATATACTCAGATGATTTGCAATGCTGAAACCAACTGAGTGTTTGAATTAATTTCAATATGGTGCTCTAATATATTGTCATACGAGGGTTGTCCCATAAGTAATGAACTAATTGTCCTTAACCAATCCTCATACTTGTGTTCCTCCAAGTTTAAAGAATGGAATTTTGTGTTCAATTCAACTATAAATGCATGCATCCGATATGTAATTTAATCACAATAATCATGCATATTAACGTCAATAGTTTTTCACAAAACAAAGCAAATAAAATATATCGTTGTAACTAAGATGTAGACTTGTACACAAGCATACAAATATATATAACTTGCTACACGCATATATACATTTGTGATTAGGCTTATGACATGTATCTATGATTATACATATACTCACGGCACATGTAAAGTGTTCATGTATATTTTGTTCCAATTCCTACACTTTAAAGAAGCATAATTCATGAAAATACCTGTGTTTAGTTAAGATATAAATACATGCATACAGCAAACACACACCCTACATACAAAATCTGACGTAATATTGTGAAATATTAGCCACGGTGGTTTTAACCATCAAAAACTAATCTTTTGTATATTTGATAATAAAGTATCAATTTTAGCTTGTAAATATGTATTTTATTATGATTAATACAATTGTCTATATTATATATAGAAAAACAAAATATTTATATTTTGTGGTTTATTCACTATATTAGCAGGGTTATATCTTGTAAACCAAAGTTCTACCTTATTACATGATCTTGCAAATTGCGAACTGCATCATAATCAGATAATGTAAGGTATGGTATGGGATTGTAGACTTTAAAAATGTCCCTATACTAATAAGATATAAAGGATAGGTATCGATATGGCGAACTGAAAGGAACAAAAACAATTGCACTAAAAACAAAAAATGTTTGGTTATATAAATAATTTTTGCATTAAATTGTTGTCAATCAGTGATCATTACATAAAGGATTCATCCCAAATACAGGCATCAACCACCAATACTTTTTGGTTGGTCCATCTGTGGATAATTTTGAGGTAAATGTCTACTATGTGTCTGAACCACTACTCATATCCAATTCATGGGGATCTGTGCCAATAATTTAGATGATTGGTCCCTGCTCCTACTTTTACCTTGTTTTGTAGAAATCAGCTTTTTTTGTCACCATGTGAGCCCATCTAATTAATGTAGCCATTTTTGAATATTTGAAAAATTCTCTTTTTGATAAACGAAACATCCTGCATTAAGCACTAAATGATAATATACTCCCACAGCTGTTAGATTTGAGCAAATTGATTTCACTGTCAAATTCTGTGCAATAAAAGCTATATGTGTTACTCCTATGTATTCACGCCTCTGAACTCTCTCCAATAGTGAATACAAGTTTAGGCTTTGCCGCCCCCTGCATCCCATCCCCTCCCCCTGATGGTCCCATTTCATGGAAACTGTCCCGCATCCTGTGATGCCCCGAAACATAGAGACTGGTCATATTCCGACCATGCAGAGAGAGCAACTCAAGCACAGCAATGAAGCCTCCAATGAGTGTAAAGAACAGTGCCATGGTTTCAAAGTAGAAACAATAACAGAGCCTTGCGTTAAGATTCTCAACAGCAGGTTTGGATTTCTCTGAAAATAAAATGACTGCGGCCAGCAGGAGTATCACTGCAAATAGAAAATAGAAATATTCTAGTTTGATCTTGAAATGTATCAAAGATGTTAACTTGAATACAGTAAGACCTGTCCAAGTGGAACACCTTTGGTACCTCGAAAAAGTATTCCACTAGGGAGGTGTTACACTTATAGAGGTTTATTTAACATTGGAACTCTGAAAAGTGTTCCGCTAAGCACTATTTCAGGCAGAGGTGTTCCACTTTATAGGTTTCACTTTATTTCATTTGTACCTGATTGTGGTCAAAGGTGAAATCACCATATATGGGGAGGGCCCGCATGGAGCATGGGCACTCTCCATTGGAGAGGTGGGTTGGGTAAGGGTTCTAAAGGGGTATGGGAGTTGAGTTCCCATGGGGCATGAGGATGTGGGTTCCCATTAGCATGAGTGCTACTTGCAAATATCTCTCTTGGATAAACATATAGCCCTTCAAATATAGGTGAGGGGAAGAGGGAAAATGAGTGAATGATTATGTAACAATAAGGGGACGGAGGCTTGATGAATCAATTGACATTGGTATTTTCATCAAATCCAAGTGGCTGATAATGCACCCATAAACCTGGCTAAACCTCTGTATTTGTAAAATAAATTCTATGAATAAAAAAGCCTGGCTGGTAAACAGATCTATGAAAAATAAAAGTTATCCTTAATGATCCAGAGTGCTTTTAAAAACTATTTCAATGAAAGAAAAACAGGGTAAGAGGTACCTGATATTGCAGATAGGCCTATGATGATGGCCACAGAGAACTGCTTCTTGTAAACCCTCTCCCATAGTAGGTACACAAAGGTGGAGATAGTTGCCAAAAATGCAAACGATGCAGCAGCAATTGTCAATCCTTTGACTGCACTTAACCATTGTTGACCTGTGAAACCTGGTAAATGGAGATGATAAAAAATAAGAAATACACTGATTTGTGTATAACATAAGCATGAAAACTGACATATAAGAAATTAAAATAGCAATGTTTTACTTTTTCAGTTTTCTACAGGGTTGGTCAAAATTAGATTTGACTCATTGATTTGTCACGCAGAATTTGGTCTATCAGTTTTGCTTTCTTGATGGTATTTCCTTATTGGTTAAAATACCTTCCCAATGCTTATATTTTTATCAAAATGAATATAAATGTGTTTCTGATAGACTGCTTAAATGTCCATCCAGTTCCAATAAACAGCACTGCTAAAATCACTAAGATTTTGACATCACCTATTATCTGATTATCCCAAAACCGAGTTTGGTACTCCCATCTATTGTCTTTTAACCACCTGGTCTTTCTTATTCAAATTGTGCTAGAGATGTAATTAAGCCACCGAAGGATAAATTGTTTAATTCATTGCTGCATTCCCTTTAAAAATATTATTGAAATCTATGCGTCATGAAAAATAAAAAATGTAGATGTTTTTTTGGCCCACCCTGTAGTTATCCTTCCTAAAATATCCTAAAACCAGCGAAAGAGTTGAAATTAGGGAGCGAGCACAATCATAGATTTTAAAATGCTCATTCTGGTTAAATAGAAACCTTTTGATGCTTACCCATTACATCTCCATAACCTTCACACTTCTCAATTACTTTTAAATATTTCTTAATCTTGCAGCTCCCCCATAGGCCTTGTGTATAATAGTAGCTGCCCAAGAGATCCACCTTGTCTCGCTCCTCTCCATCCAATATCATCCATCCTGGGAGGATTATCGCAACTAACTGTGTCACGGCTCCTGCACAAAGCGCCACAAACGCTAACGGTGGCACAATATCATAAGTGGGCTTAACCAACCCCATTATTCAGTTTTTGATACTCCTATGTATTACCAAGTGTCAGGTTTTACTTGGCTTAATTGGTTAAGTCCTTCACATAGTGCATAGTCTTTGAGAACTTACAATCTTGTAGATAAATGTTCATGTATTGTAATGCCTTGAAGAACTGTTCAATTGATAAAGATAATATTATTTTCAAAGTCAACAAATATATTCCTGTACATGTAAAGTCTTAAAATGATAACATTGTTCAACAATGTAAAGCACACCTTCTCTCCATAGCTTAAAGTGGCAATATACTTTACTTGATATCTTAATAATATTTTACAGGTCCTAAGTATAGTTTCTTCATGTGATTGAATAAAATGATTTTCATTATATAACAAGCTTATTAGTCTCCATACCCTTATATCTCAGATACATCTGCTGTCTTATTCATTTGCTTCATATTCAAGTTGAAAAGGATGCATATGTCTCAAGAACTACCCTTTGTAGGCCTGCTTAACTCTTGAATCAATTAGAAGTTAATATAGTTTTGGATCTTATTGAAAAACTAATATAACAAACTGCGACAGTAATGGTTTTCATCAGGACATTAAGATTTAATATGTAACTCATTTTGAATTTTATTAAAACTTAGGACGTTGTCTCTTTAAATTGGTTTCAAAACAACTGTCATGAAATTTCTGTTCTTGTACAGTGAAACGTGTTCCCAGTTAGCAAGTTTCTTTAAGTGGGTGCTAAACTCTTTATTATCCATGTTAAAATCACACTTACAGGTAGCAAAACAAAAAATGAACTGTGTTTTATTTTTAAGAATGAACAGTTGTAACAAAGAAAAGTGAATTCTTTTTCTATTGTTTTTTTAAGAATGTACACTTGGCACTCTATAAAAAACCAGCGTGGCACAAAAGAGGATTGACAGTGTTTGATAGTTTGCAAAGTTTCCATCATTTAAAAACAATATAAAAATGTACATGTACCCTTCTCTTGTTACTGTGCATTCTTTAGAATAAAACAATCTATCAATTTTTGTTGCTATCTACATTATTGATCTCATCTTACTTACAAATATTCTGCTATATTCAAATTCAATGTTCACATCTGGACAACGCAGACTCCTGAGGTCAATGCAACCACCTCCTATTGTTATTACAATTATTAATTGGCTACATAATAAGAAGATTTAATCAATAAGAGCCAGGGTAACTAGGAGCCTGGTTGCAGTTTGCACGCTTCACAGTTTGAATAGTCATACAAAAGAAATCAAATTTTCCAGATTAGATCATAAAGACCATCTAAGTTTAATAGACCATTTGCCTTTGATAAGAATCAGTGTGTGATTTAAGTTAGATAATACATTCAGATTAGACCTGCGGCCCGCAGTTATTATTTCTTATAAAATCTAATCCTCATGCATTATCCTTAACCTAATAAGAGCAAAGTGTAACTTATTCTTAAATGCAGACAACGAGCTTAAAATTTTACAAGAACACAAATGTGTACAATATGTCCCCACCTATGGGTGATCTCGTCAAATGGTTATCCTAAAAATGAGTAGACAAGACTTTACCGACACAATTTGAGGACGGAGAATCCAAAATGCCCACCTTAAAATTTATCAAGAATGCCAAAAAATTAGTCAGTTCTAAATTTTCATACTAAGAACCACCCCTGAAAATTTGAAATTGATCCGTCACACAGTTAACCAGAAAACATGTAAACAAGACTTTACAGACAAGATTTGAGGACAGAAAATGGCTGCCTTGACATTTATCCAGAATGCCAAAAACTAATCTGTTCTAGATTTTCATACTAAGAATCATCCCTGAAAATTTGAAATTGATCTACCAAACAGTTCACCTGGAAATGTGTAGACAAGACTTTACAGACGAGATTTTAAGACAGATAATCCAAAATGGCTGCCTTGACATTTACCCAGAATGCCCAAAAACTAATGAGTTCTAGATTTTCATACTAAGAATCATCCCTGAAAATTTGAAATTGATCTACCTAACGGTTCACCTAAAAACGCGTAGACAAGACTTTACAGGCAAGATTTTAAGACGGAAAATCCAAAATGGCTGCCTTGACATTTATCCAGAATGCCAAAAAACTAATCAGATCTAGATTCTTATACTGAGAATCATCCCTGAAAATTTGAAATTGATCTACCAAATGGTTCACCTGAAAATGCGTAGACAAAACTTTACGGGCAAGATTTTAAGACGGAAAATCCAAAATGGCTGCCTTGACATTTAACCAGAATGCCAAAAAACTAATCAGATCTCAATTTTCATACTGAGAATCATCCCTGAAAATTTGAAATTGATCTACCAAACGGTTCACCTGAAAATGGGTAGACAAGACTTTACAGACAAGATTTTAGGACGGAAAATCCAAAATGGCTGCCTTGACATTTACCCAGAATGCCCAAAAACTAATCAGATCTGGATTCTTATACTAAGAATCATCCCTGAAAATTTGAAATTGATCTACCGAACGGTTCACCTGAAAACGCGCAGACAAGACTTTACAGACAAGATTTTAGGATGGAAAAATCCAAAATGGCCGACAATAAAAAAGTGATTATGAGTTTTTGCTGAAATCTTTTTACAAAATTATCACATATAACTACTGTTAACAATAACATAGGCTTTTACAACAAAGTACACCTGAAATTATTTATAAAGCTACTAAAAAGTTAAAGTATGAAAACTGAAAAACACCATTCAATATGATACAAAGTATTATCGTGCGCTGACTTTTCTTAAAACATTCAAAATGGCTGACATGACTGAGCTAACAGGTCCAAAACCTAATCAGATCTAGAATGAAGTGAGCTGAACAAGATGTTAACGTTTTAAAAGCAACTGTGAAGCCATTTTTCTTAAAGTTTGCAGACAAGGATTTCAGCATTTGACTTCAAAATGGCCGACAGGAAGTAGGTATCGAGTTAATTTTTTTTCATCCACATCTGTATGCACTCATAAGTTATCCCTGAAAATTTGAAGGTGATATCTGTAGCGGTTTTGGAGAAAACTGCCGGACGTACGGACAGACAGACGGACAGACAGACAGACAGACGGACGGACAGACAGACGGACAGACGGACGCGCCTAGGCCGACAATATGGCCCCACACTATGTGGTGGGGACATAATAAAACGGTGCTAAAATTGGATTTAAAAAATATTTGTAGTTGCTTACATTGAAAAGGTGTTCACATGTTCAGGTTTAACTGTGCACCATTTGTACATAAAGCCTAAAAACAGTATCTACATAGTTCTTAAATTACAGTTTTGTTTGAAATTGTAGAATGACCTTAAAACCAGATATTCTGTTATTTGATCTGTAGTCCAGCAGACAAAGTTCTTTTATCAAGTGAAAACAATAGGTACAATAGGCTATCTGTTACTCCATGAAATCTGTTGAGTACCAGTAAGTGTGGAATTTTCACAACAGAATTGCAGTTTTATCTCAGATTTTATTTCAATTTGAAACAATGAAAACTACAGACAAACATCAGGGCAGATTTTCAACAATGTAATTTGTGAAGTTTATTTAATGTATAGCAGCTTTTTAAGGTAGGCAGAGTGCCTGATATATGACACAATTTAAGGAAGGCAGAGTGCCTGATATATGACACAATTTAAGGTAGGCAGAGGGCCTGATATATGACACAATTTAAGGTAGGCAGAGTGCCTGATATATGACACAATTTAAGGTAGGCAGAGTGCCTGATATATGACACAATTTAAGGTAGCCAGAGTGCCTGATATATGACACAATTTAAGGTAGGCAGAGTGCCTGATATATGACACAATTTAAGGTAGGCAGAGTGCCTGATATATGACACAATTTAAGGTAGCCAGAGTACCTGATATATGACACAATTTAAGGTAGCCAGAGTGCCTGATATATGAAACAATTTAAGGTAGACAGAGTGCCTGATATATGAAACAATTTAAGGTAGACAGAGTGTCTGATATATTGAATAAACAATTTAAGGTTGGCAGAGTGCCTGATATATTACAAAATTTAAGGTAGGCAAAGTACCTGATATATGAAACAATTTAAGGTAGGTAAAGTGCCCGATATATGACATAGCTTATGGTAGACATAGTACTTGATATATAAAACAATTTCTGCTATACAGTGTTAACATTATTTTACATAATTTATGGATTTATTATTTAACATAGCTCATTAATTTTATAATATATAATTATGAAATATTTTCAACATGATTTCCATTTAATTACAATATCATCAATTGCACAACAATTAGCATTATTTCAGTTCAATCAATAAATAAAGCCATCAAAATGAATGTAATAAATACACATATTTATATAAATTAAAACATGTTTTGTAATGTACATGTACATGGTCACTATCCTATGTTGAACTAGCAATGAAAAACAGTATAAATTGTTCACGAATCGCATCGAACATCTTGCCAAGCATCAGAATTGACAAACTGTCAAAAAATAATGTCAAAATCCCTGTTACTTTTCGAGCTATAGCAAACACATAAAACAATGCATAAAATGGCCACCATTTCTTAAGTTTTGGACTAAATTATCAAGTTATTGAATGATTTGAAGTGCAATACAGGCTATATTGAGCTCGAGAAATTCTGTATCGGCACGAGACAAAGTCAAGTACCAAACAGAATATTGAGAGCACAATTTATCCTGTATTGGACTTCAAATCATTCTATAACTTAGTATATTGTCCAAAAATTAAGGACCTTACTAAGGTTTTGTTCTGTATTGCTACGAAGATGATCAATTCCTAACCAATACAAGGTTACAGATCCAAATACAGATTGGAAAAGCACAGGAAATGACCTATCAGAGGTCTTCATTTTATCAAAGAGGTCTTCATTTTATCAATCATATGATAAAGTAACTTATTGCAGTGTAACAGTTCTAACGAAAATTTCTTAAAAATAACAACAAAACTACAGCCATTTAGAGATGAAAAGCCATTTGAAGCTTTCAGCAGAAAATGTACTTTGATAGGGTATATGTGTATAAAATATGAATGAACAAATAATATTAGAGATATCGCCTGGATCAACAACACAGATATAACTTTGTTCGAGGATAATTATGTTATCGCATTACTGTATCTGTCTTTAATTTGGCGACCGTTTTATTTTTGGCGAATTCAAAAAATCGCCAAACTTCGCAAAAATCCTGATAATTTTTTTTTCGTTCAGAGCACTTCCAGTTATAAGAAAGATGGTGCTGGGGAAACTTAACAGGATCGACTAGCCATCGCTGAGGCATCAAATAATAACATACGCAACATTTCACAATATCAAAGTCTGGAGGGAGGGTCATATGAATATATCTTTCCTTTATTAGGATTCAGGTACAGTATGCATAATCAATGTTTTGTGGTTTACCCCTTGCAAAATGCCAAGTTAAATAGATATGAGACTTATCCCCTTGAAAAAGCACCAAATCAAATAAACGCCAATATGTCTGATATCCCAAACCGCCAAATTAAGTAGCGCCAAACTAAAGATGAATACAGTATTTGTCATGATTTGCTTCTTTGACATTTCAAAATCCTTTTACCAATATATTCCAAATATAGTCTCTTATATATACCCGTAACTATGGGTATTATAGAAATAAGAGTCTCATTGAAATCCATGCATGTATCCATACTGCATAAACACCATGCTATTTGCTGCCTCTAGATATGCAGGGTTGAATGGTTGACCCTCGGGATGTCCCTGGGGAGGGCCAACATTATCACTTCCTTGCCCATGTTCACTTATAGGGTGGGCCGCTAAATCAAGCGCATGATTGTTTTGTTGTACTTCACCAATGTTCTTATTGTCTTCTCCTTCTTGTGGTTTTATATCCTGGATATGCTGGGCATGTAAAGGTCTCATTGTCATATCTACCATCTCTTGTTGGTTACTGGTATCTGGGGCATTCAGAGGGAATGAAGTCCGGTGTCCAGACTTTGTCGAGGTTTTTTGATCAACCAAATGTTCGGCATCACTGTTTTCAAACTTTACGATAAATTTCATGTTTTTTCCATTCTCTCCATGTGTTTTCATGTGGACTCTAAGGTTGTCTGCCCTGGCGCAACTCTTTCCACAAATCGGACAGATAAATCTGCGTTTCACGAGATGAACTGTTTTAGTGTGTTTACTTAGTCCGCCTTTGTCAGGGAATGCACGATTACAGAGGTTACACTGATGTGGTTTTAGACCCAAGTGACGCTTCTCATGCTGGATTACACGGTCTTTACTCTTAAAGCCTTTACCACATTGTGTACATTTGAAGGGTGTATCAGTTTGATGCACAAGCTTATGTGTGTATAAGGAAGCTGGTGATTTAAAGCTAGCCTTACATATTGCACATTCAAACTTACGATCCTCATTATGCACATTGGTATGACTCGCCAGTGAACTTTTATACATAAATGTCAACCCGCAGATGTCACATATGTACCTTGATGCATCAGTCGTGTGACGTCTCTCATGGAGTTTTCTGAGTGTCTCGGTTTTGTACATTTTATCGCAATGAGAACATTTGTATGCTTTGACAGTTATGTGAGTCCCTTCATGGTTGATCAAACCCGTCTTGTTGAGGAATCCTTTACCGCACTGATCACATATAAAAGTTCTCTCCTGCTTTGAGTGACCCGCCACGTGCATCTTGAAGCTGTTCAAATAACCAAACGATTTTGGACAGAGGGAACACTGGTATTGATGGTTCTCGTGAGCTCCCTGTTTGTGGCATTTCAAGTGATGAGCAGTGAGATATGTTTTGTCGCAGATGTCACATGCAAATGGCCTCTTCCCCTCATGCTTTAGCCGATGTAGCTTCATACTGTGATGAAAACTAAAGGTTGCATCACATATTTCACACTTGAATGGTTTCTCCCCGCCATGAACTCCTCGCTTGTGATGATACACCGCAGACTCGGAGGAGAAATTCTTATTGCATTGGTTGCAGTTAAATTTTAGCCCACTCATTCGCTGTTTATGTCTTTTATTATGTTTTCGCATAGCTCCGATAGTCGGGCAAACTTTGTTACAGATCTCACATGAAAATGTTCCCCCCTTGGTTTGTGTGTACTTGTGTATGTTGGCGTGCTTATTTAACAAAGACTTACTGGTGAATGTATCGCCACAATCAGAACAAATATGATTATGCTCTAGCTCCATATGCTCCTCATATTCCGAAAGTGTTACGAAGACATCAAAACAAAAATCACAAGTCATAGGGGGCACTTCATCAGGGTGCTCCTTTTTAATATGCTTCTTAAGTTTAACAGCTTTCTTAAACACTTCATCACAATGGTTACATTTAATGCTTGGTTTGTGTGTAGCAATATGACGTTTCAGGCACGTCTCACGAACAAATGTCTTATCACATTTATCGCAATGATGAGGACGAACACCGTTGTGACGGTTCATATGCTCTGTGTATTTGTTTATGTGATGAGTGGAGTAGTCGCACAGTTCACATGCATGTTGTTTACTACCTTTCTTCCTCCCTTTCTTCACTTTGGGCTCTGAAAGTAAAGATTGTTGGTTATAAATATATGTCATCATCTACCTTATAACAAGGTATTAACATGCCAAACAATATGTAGAATGGACAGATGAATGAGTAGGCGATTTCATATGCTCACCATAGGCTACCATGTTAACTAAAATATAGAGCACAAATAACAAAATATGTAAAATGCATTTTTATTATAAATGCCTTACTTTCATCACCATTCTCATCTTCATCCTCATCACCACCATCATCATCATCGTCATCTTCATCACTGTGGTCGACATCTGGAGCAGGGACATAGTCTGCATCCTTTGCATCATCATCAATGTAGTCAAGTTGATGTCTGTCATCTTCAGCTTCATTGTTAGTCGACACTGGTAATTCTGTGAAACAATGAGAAGCTTTAGTTTTAAGAATTATTACAGAGTGTAGTACTATAGAATTATTACAGAGTGTAGTACTATAGAATTATTACAGAGTGTAGTACTATAGAATTATTACAGAGTGTAGTACTATAGAATTATTACAGAGTGTAGTACTATAGAATTATTACAGAGTGTAGTACTATAGAATTATTACAGAGTGTAGTACTATAGAATTATTACAGAGTGTAGTACTATAGAATTATTACAGAGTGTAGTACTATAGAATTATTACAGAGTGTAGTACTATAGAATTATTACAGAGTGTAGTACTATAGAATTATTACAGAGTGTAGTACTATAGAATTATTACAGAGTGTAGTACTATAGAATTATTACAGAGTGTAGTACTATAGAATTATTACAGAGTGTAGTACTATAGAATTATTACAGAGTGTAGTACTATAGAATTATTACAGAGTGTAGTACTATAGAATTATTACAGAGTGTAGTACTATAGAATTATTACAGAGTGTAGTACTATAGAATTATTACAGAGTGTAGTACTATAGAATTATTACAGAGTGTAGTACTATAGAATTATTACAGAGCGTAGTACTATAGAATTATTACAGAGCGTAGTACTATAGAATTATTACAGAGTGTAGTACTATAGAATTATTACAGAGTGTAGTACTATAGAATTATTACAGAGTGTAGTACTATAGAATTATTACAGAGTGTAGTACTATAGAATTATTACAGAGTGTAGTACTATGTAGTTTAGCCTTTTGTTGGGGAAGTAGATAGGGGAGGGGGAATCCAGAAACTTGAAGCATGGCATATGCCTTGCCCAAGGCGGTGTCTTTTTATTTTTAAAATTTTATTTCACATACCGTTATATGTAATAATTGAAAATCAAAATAACAAAAGATAATACAGACTTGGGCAAGCCTAGACACATCACTACGTTCTGATAATTGGCCTGCCAGTTTTGTTTTTATATTGATGGATAAAGAAAAAATCAATAGACTCTTAAATATTCTTGCAAGTAAGATAAGACCGAAGATGTGCTAGTTACTAGTAGTGTTTTTGCTTTGATAATCCATAGCCACCAGGCAGTTGAGGCTATGAAAATGAAGTTTAAAGATAGATTTGTAAGAGGAGAATTTCCATGTAGTGTTCATGATTACAATTACCAATATGTATGGTATGGATAATATTTTCAAAATTTTAGGAGGATATTTAACAGAGGTTACATAGTTCAAAATCAAAGATAACATAATCAGCTATAGGGTGTCCCTAAACTTTTCAGTTTGAAATTTTATTTACCTGTTTTTATGCATGTTACATCTGGGAGGGAGGCAACACTTTCACTTACTGAAAAATAACAGAAAATATTTGAAATCATCTTTCAGAAAAAACCAAATATCTAATGAACATGTATGAAAACTTTCACTCAAAATTATAACTTACATCTTGATTAGGTTGTTTCACACCTGTATCTTCCACAAAATGAGAAACGAAGAATTAATATTAGATGAGGCTTTTTATGTGTTGGAAAGATGTCAAGACTAATCAAGAATGGCTCCTGATGATTGGCACTGCTTAATATTCTAAAGGAAACATTGGATATCCATAAGCTTTATCCATGCCCAATAATTTTAAAATAATGAGATGCATTTAACAAGCTGTTAACACCTATATTGCAGTGGAAATATTCCAACAATTCTGTTCAGTAAAGTAAAGAAATACTTTTTGATACCTGGTTTAAAGTTCTTGACTGGATCTATAATTTCTTCTTGAGGTGTGCCACCATACCATTGTTTGGCCAGTTCTTCTAAAGTTTTACAAGCGTCATCATCACCATTGACTTGGTTTCCTGCAATAAATATTAATTTTGAATTACTCATGTCTTATGGTTTAACATGTGTAGTACGTAAACACTCTTCTGAATTACATCTCGGTTTATATCTGGTCAAGAGAATTTTCCAATCAGACAGGTTCTGGCTGAACATTTATACTAACATTTATGATATTGTATACAGTAAAATCCTTAAAAGTAGGTGGTAGAGCCCATGATATTGAGAGGTGGTTAAATGTCACATATTTTTTTATGTCAGATTTGATCATACCTTGCTGGTAAACATGTTCCTTAATGTCAACTTTAAAGGACTCAGTGGTATCAACACTGAAGACAATGGAGCCAACCATCAACACACGCATGTTGAATGTGATGTTGTCCTGACAGAATCTGATCAGATTCTGCTGTAGTGTTGTCTCCAGTTCATCAGGCAAACTTGTAGAAGGCTGGTCAGGCTTCATGAATGCTGCAAAGTAATATATTCTGTAAGAAACATCAAATATGGCCAACAGATTCAAAATGGCTACCTAAATGTAATTTTCTAGTCAGCTTTTACAATATTAAAAAAATCTGAAAACAATCTGTTTTTAAAAAATTAGGCCCACTGCCAAAACAGGATTGGGACTATTATGGTAAACAACTTTCCATTCCCTAGCCTTGTAACATGAATTACTACTAAATATATTGTTCCACAAACACCGGCTCACGTGTCGGAATACAAGAGTGAAACACTTAAATATCGCATTCTCCAAATCAAAAGGGATATTAAATTGAGGAAGTAAACTTTGAACAAAATGGAGGCAACAATGAATTATGTTTCGTGGCCTAAATTTTGCAGACAACATTTGCACTTGGATTTCGTCCGCTAATCGGCATCATCTATTTTCAAAATCGTGCCAGAATATTCGACTTTATTGTATGCACAATTTACTACAATGTGATAGGACCCACCTGTACTTTGTGTTTCTACAGCAGTCATTTTATTGTAGTGAATTTGGAAGGGTTTTCCAACTTTAGCTAGCATGCGCATCTAATCGTGCGCAGTTTCGCTGAACGAAAATACATACATTCCCGGGAATGATTAACCGGATTGAAGCACATCTGGATTCACAAGGTTTCAGTTATAAGTTGTTTCATCTTTTGAGCCCTATTTCCCAAACAACAACGTAAATTAATGTTTAAACTCCAAGAAGGGTGTTATCCTTTCGAAATGGGTTTTGTCCATTTTGCTGCAATTCAAGATATAGATACTGTCGTGGAACATTTTATACTGCCAGTGAGCAGAGATTACTTCGGTCCAAAGCCTTCTCTATATTCCGGCTTTGAGGAGGAAGATTGAGCTGCCTTAGTATTATAAATATTGTAAATCATTGTGTCACACGCACAGTAAATATGGCATAATAATATGAAATATACCTTTATGTATAGATTTGAAGAACATCAGCTCACATCCCCGTCTGAATCTACTGTTATATTTGATTTCTTTAAGCGAGAATAATTTCAAATGTTATTCACGTCCAGAACCGGAAGCCATTTTTAGCTACAGCGAGAAAATTTCACCATGTGTCGAAAACTCCGAAATGAAATTTTGAAATATCTAAATCCAGACAAGCAACGCTTCATCCTAAATATGATTAATATTCTTAAAAATATTTATAAAATTTATTAAAAATGAGTTCTAGGTGCGTGTAGGTGCGTGTAGCACAGTACATACGAAATCAATAAAGTTTCGTCTAGCTGTAAGCTAGAGACTCGAGTAAAGCAGAGACATTATGTATAAAACATGTGCCTTATGACTTATGGCCCGCCGCTCCCCTTGTGTGCGCCCAGAAAAAAAATTGGGCCACAAACAATTTTGGGCTAAAA